ATATGTTTTTAGAAAAAATATAAAAATAATTAGGTTGGTTTAACAATATAAACATATAATTAATGAGATTTAAACCTAAAATAATACCAAGTCTCCTTAAATTATATTTAATAAAATAAAAAAATAATATTTAACAATGTATTAACACCTTGTGGTGGAAGTCCTAAATTAAAAAAACAAAGTACTAACAATTAATTGACGTTAGCAAAATTCACATATATCTGAATAAAGATCATAAATTAAATATAAAAATAATCAATTTGTTTATATAAAAAAATAAGCATAATTGAAGATTAAATGATACCGTCAAAGTTTATAGTGTCCAAATAGAAATAGGCCTGTAAACGAACCGGACGCACATGAACGGAGGTATGTTCATGTTCGTTCATTTAAAAAATAAACAAACATAAACGAACACGAACATAAATGAACAATTGTTTTTTGTTCATGTTCGTTTATTAAGGAATATAACTTGTTCATGTTCGTTCATTTAATAAATAAACGAACATAAACGAATACGGACATAAACGAACACGAACATAAATGAACACGAACATAAACGTTGGAGACCCTACCTTCCATTGTTCTTTCATGAAAAATAGTTGACAATGCATATCAATCAAATCTACAGTGATAAATAACGTAAGAGTTGATTAGCAGTAATGAAATGTTTGAAGATATTCACACAAGAACTATGAAAACAAAGTTCATTGTCAAAGTGTATTTCTACTTAAATGGGTTCTTCCTGGAAAACCCATTACTTCCCCTATTACACTCTTTTTTAGAAATTGCATAGAAACCTTTGTTTTGTTTTCTGGCAAATTCTATATATTTTTCTCTTTACTGATGCTCATATACTTCTGATTGTTACTTTTATCTTCTCATCTATTTCTAGAAAGAAGTATGATGTTTTCTTGAGTTTTAGATGTGAAGATACCCGCAATAACTTTACATATCAACTATTAAGCCAAATAAAACAGAAAAAGAGATGAAAACATATCTGTAAAACTTCAGATTGCACTATAATATAACTTGTTTTGAAGCTTTCAGCGACCATCTTCACTCTCCAGTGAACACTAGGGTTTGGGAAAAAAAAGGGGGAAAATGAATATAGGTGCGAGGTGCCTCACGAGTTAACATATTGGATTTAATCTCCAAATAAAATTGGATTAATTATGGAGTTGGTCATCAGAATATCAGATTAATTAATATTTTTAAGATACTTACAAATTGGTCACCAAAATTGATTTAAGAAGATTGGATTAAACATAAATGAATGAACATAAACGAACATAACCGAACGAACATAAACGAACATAACCGAACGAACATAAACGAACATAACCGAACGTTCATGAACGTAAATGAACGAACGAGACCTATGTTCATGTTCGTTCATTTAATTAAACGAACACAAAATCTTGTTCATGTTCGTTCATTTAATAAATAAACGCACATAAACGAACTTCCCACCGCACGGTTCGCTGAACGTTCAGTTCATTTACAGGCCTAAATAGAAATATGAAACAATTATTCACTTCAACAGTGACAAAAATAGTTGTTGTCACAAATCACCAACAAACACTAGTGACAAAATGTTTTCGTCTCAATTATAAATAATAATAATAACTACTTAAAATATTGTCACTATTACAACTTTCCGTGTACAAATAAGTTGGCACCAATTCGAGCCTATTACTAGTGACTAATTAATAATGACAACTTACTTTTGGTCACAATAAAACACTATTAGTGACCATTATTTTGTGATGTACTTTAAAATTATCACAGTTATTACTTAAAAAGTGACCAAAGAAAAATAAGTCACAATTACTCATTTTAAAAGCGACAAAAATAATTTTTGACATAAATAACATACTTGCGACGAAATTCTTTAATGTCACAATTAAATTGTCAGTACAAATCTTATTTCTTATAGTGGTTTAACTATAATTTAGATTGAGCAACTATTATATAACTATGGGAAATACCAATTAATATAAAATTTATCTTATTATGATAGTTGCCACGTCCCTCTTGACACCAATCTTACCATCCTCTACCCATATTATATTTAGTAGATCTTCCTTGATCTAATCAAAACATATCTAAAGAAATTGTTGTTAATTACAAAATCTATTTTCTTATTCAACCTATTTAACTCATACCTATTAAATCATATATATTTTAGTACGAAACATTGTATGAAAATATAGAATGGAATCATTTAATTAATTAAATAAGATTTATCCTAATTATTTAATATACAACTAACTTATAATTCAATTTTTCATCTATAAACCCTTCAGTGTTAAATTGAACTTTATGTAAAACTTTACTATCAAACATAATAATTAAATTAATATTGTCCTTTCTTTTCGTATTGTTTCTTTCTTATATTGTTCCTATTTTTTGTATTGTTCCTTTCAATGTATTGTTTCTTTCAATGTATTGTTTCCTTCCCCTTACTATTTTTTTATTATACTATTTCTCTTATTATACTATTTCTTTTACTGTTTTTTATTGTTCCTTTCACTAAACCCTAATTAAGGGAACTATATCAGTCTTATCAATACTTCCCTTAAATAGGAGAATATGAGATATGAAAAGAAATAAAAATAAAATATTTTAATTAGTATTTAACCTATAATTTGCTCATTGAGATGGAAAAGGTCGAGTTGTACTTGTGAGGTTAGCATACATAATTAATTAAAATGACATAAAAGTCAATCAGCATGTTTCAATAAATATTAATTAAAAATTATATACCTATCATAAACAAAATAGTATATAAATATTAGATATTATACAAATACGCAACATAAATAATACACACATACTAACAATGACTAAATTAAAATCAGAATATGCCAACCTTAAATATGAAACTTAATTAGTGATTATAATGAAAGAGGTTACAAATTGCAAATGAAATAAAGTTGTAATAATTAAAGGGTACCCATCCGAACATTAGAAATTAAATAAATAAGAAATAAAGGAAAGGAAAGGGTCAAGCAAAATAAATAAATATGTAGATTATAAATTGAAAAGAAAAAAATAAAATTAATAAGGGAAACAAAATCAAATTGGAATAAAGTTTTACTAAAAGAAATAAAATAAGGAAATTGGTATAAATCAAGCAACTTTAAAAGAAACCAAATAAGGAAAATATAAAATTTAATAAAAAATAAAAAAATCTACCATAATTTTGAAAAGTTAAAATAAAATTAAGCAGGTTGATAGAGAAGTCTAAAGAAAGGTTAGATCTAAAAGATCTCTTTGAAAATCTTAAATTTGTTCATTGACTTGTCTCCTCCTATGAGATTTTGGAATAAAAGCAAGATCGGGACAAACAAAACAACAAGAACATAAGTAAATAAAAAAAAAAGAATCATCGATTTTCAATTGAAAAACCTCAATAAATGTTAGATGTTAGATTTAAAAAAATCTATTCGAAAACATTTTTTCTTATCATCGTTTCTCTCTTCCAACAATATTTTTTTAAAAATACAAAATCTACCAAAACAACAAGAATAAAAGATAAATAAAACCAAAACAAAAAGAACAAGAATAAAAAGCAAAAATCTTATTTTATTACTTGTATCTTCCAAATTACAATTGTTAGAGTGACTCTCCCTCTTTTTTCTCTCTTCTTTCTCTAAAGTGAAAATGAATTCTATTATTTTCTGTGTGTTCAATGAGGATTGTTCAACTATGCATTTATTTACTTATTTATACATTAATTGTATTTTATCTTTATCTTTAATTTGCTGAATGCCGGAGGTCTTCCCCGGAAGCTGCTCTCAACCCTGGAGTTGGGGGCAGCCTACTACCCTACCTCCCCCTTACCTCATTACACATGAGAATAGGGTTTTGTTGTTGTTGTTGTTGTTCAATGAGATAAGAAAAAACCTTAATTTATTACCGAGCCTCATCGTATCTAATGCTCAGGATCATTTACATTCACGATTAAGATTAAAGCATATCTATACAATCACCAAATTAAGAAAAGTAAATCAATTCTATTAACACATTCCTTAAATAGAAGATTACATGAGATATTAAAAGAAATCAAAATATAATATTCTGATTAGCATTTAACCTATAATTTTATTTTTATTAAAATTAAATTGATTGGACAAAATTAGATAATTACAGCTTCCTACTTTCATAGACTTTCTTTCCATTTTGTTTCTTTCTAATATGATTTTGAAACCTTGCATTTTGTATAGTTATTGAAGAGAAATAGAGTCAGTCCGGTTATTAATTACAGAGAAGTGGTTAGTAGTTGCCTCAGAAGATGTTGATGTTCATAAATTGTTGCATGCCACAAAACCACGTTAGTTGAAAACTTGATTCAATGGTTAGTCTCATTAAAGGAAGCCAGCTTAACATTTTATTTTGCATTACAATTCATATTTAAAACCTATAATTGTTATATTTTGAATTAATCACTAGTATTCGATCTGATCGATTAATCCAGACAGAGTATTGTAGAGGTGTGAGCGACCCTCTCAACCCATTTTATTTCACTCGTAATCGTCAAAGTTCATACTCGTGACATTACTTAAAGAATTTAATAACTCATCTCACTAAATCAACTAGTTATTGGTTATAATTTTTATTTTTAATACAAATATTTTTATTTAAATTTTAAATTTTAAAATATGATGCGACTTATCATATAGGAAAGAATAGGAAACCATCTAAAAATATGATGTGACTTATTAATTAATTGATTAAATTTCACAATACGTAACGACTCTGTATGAAAGAATAGGAAATCATTTAATGCTCGAAGTGTAAATTCAAAGCAAGCATAAAAAATGAGCTCCATGTCAACATAGAGCAGCCTGGAATTTGAAATGCAACACAACTAGAAAAAGAAAACGTAATCAAATCAACGATGTCTCAATTGCATTATTAAAATTCGACTAACGAACTAAAAACATTATAAAACCACAAAATTAGATCTCTCCAAAACATCCTTCCCGATTTAACTCCTCACATGGCGGAAAGGGAGCAGGCAAAGCCTCTAGCACCGGCGTCGGACCTTCCCAAAAGCGACGACGGAGAGGAAGCGCTGCATATGATAAAAACTCGACGTAAGAAATTCATTAAATGTTTCGGTTACATTGCTGCTCTGACGACCATCCTAGCTGCAGTGATCATAACTCTAATTTTCACGGTGTTTCGAGTCAAGGATCCAATCATCGAAATGAACGGCATCATGGTTACAAACCTCGAGCTAATTAACGGCACAACTCCTAAGCCGGGTTCCAACATCACCGTAAGAGCCGACGTTTCAGTTAAAAATCCCAACATAGCATCGTTCAAGTATAGGAATACCACCACAACTCTTTACTATTATGGCAAGGTGGTCGGGGATGCCCGGGGCCCTGCAGGCCGTGCGAAGCCCCATCGAACCATGCGGATGAACATTACGATCGATGTTATCATGGATCGGCTCTTGGCCAGTCCGAATTTGGTGGCGGACGCCAGCTCCGGGACATTGACCATGAGTAGCTACTCCAGAATTGGAGGAAGGATCAATATGTTGAACATCATAAAGAGGCATGTTACTGTAAAGATGAATTGCTCCATGACAGTGGACATCTTCAGCCAAGAAATTCAAGCACAAAAATGCAAGCGGAAGACCATCCTAGCTGCAGTGATCATAACTCTAATTTTCACGGTGTTTCGAGTCAAGGATCCAATCATCGAAATGAACGGCATCCATGGTTAAAACCTCGAGCTAAAACGGCACAACTCCTAGCCGGGAACATCACCGTAGAGCCGACGTTTTCAGTTAAAAATCCCAACATAGCATCGTTCAAGTATAGGAATACCACCACAACTCTTTACTATTATGGCAAGGTGGTCGGGGATGCCCGGGGCCCTGCAGGCCGTGCGAAGCCCCATCGAACCATGCGGATGAACATTACGATCGATGTTATCATGGATCGGCTCTTGGCCAGTCCGAATTTGGTGGCGGACGCCAGCTCCGGGACATTGACCATGAGTAGCTACTCCAGAATTGGAGGAAGGATCAATATGTTGAACATCATAAAGAGGCATGTTACTGTAAAGATGAATTGCTCCATGACAGTGGACATCTTCAGCCAAGAAATTCAAGCACAAAAATGCAAGCGGAAGGTTGATCTATAAGCTATCGGTAATGACGAATTCAAAAATATTTTTGAGAATGAGTTTATATATATATATATATTAACCATATAATTTTTTTTATATGTGTACAGGTATAAATAAAATTTCAGAAATGATACAATCGTTAAAATGAATAATTAATAGAAGAAAATATAATTTTAGAGTAAATATTTACTTACTCAAGATATAGTGTAGATACACCACAACTCTCAGGTATGATGGCATGTTTCCTTAGCGTGAAGCGTATATATGTAATATTCGTAGATATTGTACAGTTTTAAGACCATGAATGATTATAATTTTACCTTGTAAAGATCACGAGTATGTTAAAGGGAAATATAGGTTATGACAGTTTTAGTCGACTTAACTGAGATCGGTGATTTTTGAAAAGAAAAAAAATAAAATATGATAAGTTAAAGAAAATAATATACGATGTAGATTGAGATTAAAAGAGAAAGAATCTGATCTCTCCTTAAATCTTGTACGAGGATTTATATGCAAATTCTTAATGTCGATGTCACGCTTAAAATTATGAGGACTATTTATTTATAAGTTAATAAGATAAATAAATATAATTATTAAATAATAGATATGATTCTAACAAAATAAATAGTTATGATTACGATTATTCATAGATTACTAATAACGTCAAGAGATAGTGATTAATTGGAGAATATGAATATTGAAAGCTTCTAAAAACTTAGAAGTTCCGATCTGCAACAAGAATTCCTCCAAACTTAGGAGTAGCAACAAAACAGTTATTTACCCTTCAGTGGAAATCGTTTTTTTCCCTTTCGGTAGCAATAGAGGTCAGTGAAAATCGTTTTTCGTTGAAAAGTAGGGCATCAAAATCAACAATTAATCGGGCTAATAACTTTTGGCAAGGATCGGACACGTCCCCCGTTAAAAGGTTAGTTTGAATGTTTGATAGGTCATATTACGGATGTGGGGACCCCGATGGAAGTTGATCCAAATGGCATTAGTAATCGGGAAGTTGGTCAGATATCTGTATCTCCAACAACTCCGTCTCAGTCGCATTGATTCTTTGAATAACTAAATTGCTATAAGCTAGTGTTACATGTAGTCATAGGCTTCAGAATCATTTCAAATTTCACAAGAGAATTAGAAACTGACGACTGCTGGAAAAAGAAAAAGAATAAGAATCAGACCGTAAATCTGTCGTAGTTGGCTTTAGTCATCTTATATTTTCTGCTACAGCTACCCTAGTCATCAATGTTATTATAAAGAACCATACTCATGTTATTTTATTAATAGTTTTAGATGATTATAAGATAATATATATTTATAATTTTTTTAGTTATTAAAAAATTACATATCTTATTTACGAAACAACTTAAATCCAAAATCTTAAAAGATAATAAAACTTCTTTTATGTCATTTTCTAACATTTAATCTATAAGTTTAACACGAACTAAACAACCTCAGTGGTAAAAGTAGGGCTATAAAAAGTTGAACTGACCTCTAAAACTGACTGAAACCGACTCGAATCAAAATTGTTTTTAACCTAAGCTATAACGATCCGAAATTAACTCGAGTTGGAATTGGTGTTGGCCTGAATCCGAGTTGGACCTGGAAATTGTGGATCTGAACCCGACCTGCACCCGACTTGAGAATGACTTGAACCCGAATTGAACCGAAAAAATGATACTCGAACCCGACCTGCATTCGACTAATATGAACTCGAACCTGAGATTAACCTGGTAAATAACATGTATTTCCTTACCTATTTTCAACATAACTTGTAAATGATCCGACTTGTTATTGACCTGATCTGATATTTACCAGACTTGACATTTACCTGACTCATATATTACCATGGATGAAATTATAAGATTTTAATTAAATTGTGAGTTTTTGAGTTTATGATATAATTGATAAATTAATATGATTAATTTTTAAATGTTATAATAAAATATTTATTATAATAATTAAATTAATAAATAGACTTATTATATAAAATTATTTAATAAAATTAATAAAATTATTTAAATGTAAATTATATAAAAAATGATTAATAAAATTATTGGCATTGAACAATGATTAAATGTAAATTAATATAGTTTAATTTATGTAAATTATATAGTTTAATTTATGTAAAGAAAAAATAATATTAATAATGTAAGCATTAATTATGTAATTTATATTGACATTTAATATGATTAATACAATTAATTTTGGCATTGAAATGATAATTAATTTGATAATAAATGAATATTGGTATTGAACGTGATTAATTCTCCAAAATATAAATGTAAACTACACAGTTTAATTTATGTAAAGGAAAATTATCTAACAATTATAACATACATAAAACATAATATAAAAGATAAATTTAATTGATATTGATAATGTAAATAACATTTGATCTAAAATTTGAATAACATTTGAGTTATTACAGTTGAATACAATAATATGAACAAAAACAATGTTTTTTTAAGCTCTCAGATCTTATAAAAAAGTTTTATAAGGCTAAAAGCCTAACTTTTCTACCAGAAATTTCTTCATCGAGCTTTTGTATCGAAATATCTAAATGCTACCAACATCGTTAAATTAAGGGCAACATCTAAAGCCACCAACACAATTTAACATTAGTAGCTATTTAGAAAAAATGACAAGTTACGACAATCTATTTAAGTCAGACCAACAAAATAAATTACAAGGCAGCAACAAGCAACATTTCTTCATTAAACAAACATGCAGTCATCGGTAAAGCCAAAGAGAATACGATGGCCAACAGTGCCAAACATTTTTGACTTATTACAGAATCAAGCATTCAACATTGTTTATAATAACAAAAATAATATCCAGCAGAATCAGGATGTGTTACTTTGGACAGAAGCATCCTACAAAAAACAGAAGCATCAATAAAAATTGGTTTCAGTTACTGTTAAACATAATAAATATAATAAGTCATTAATAAATAGAAGTTACATGTGAAGGGAAGAAACAAGACAAAATCTCCAATTCCAATGGTTTCACTTAACGTTAAACACCCTAAAAAAATTAAAATTAAAATTAAAATTAAAATAATTAATAAACAATTTGAAATATTGAGAATAACATAAAAAATAAAAAAGTTTTATCATACCTTTACATAGCATACTCATTAACCACAGTAAGGTAGTCTTCATCTTTATCCTTCGGCTCAAAACCATACAACCAATTACGAGTTGTTACAAAAATCTCAATATTTTTTGGTAAGAGTGAAGCTCTTAATTTGTTTAAAATTCTATCCCCATACTAAAGGAAGATTCAGATGCAACTGAAGTAATTGGAATAGCCAATATATCTCTCGCCATGCAAGAAAGTACATGATATGAAACACTTTGATTTTTTCAATACTCCAAAATATCAAAGTCAGATTCTCCAGTACGAGGGACAAGGGGCAAACTAATATAAGAGTCAACATCAGATCGTCCACTCCTTGAAGAAACTAAATTGACATCAAAATTCTGAATAACAAAAGATAATAAATTAGTAAATAAAAACAGTAAATAAATAAGTTAAAATTCAACTAGAAATTATACTAACTAACCTGAAATAAATCTGATTTTCTAAATGTTCGAGGCCGATTGGAACTTGAGCCACTTCTGTCCAATGATGTACTACTTTGGACAGAAGAAACAGAAGAAGAACCACAAGGTGCATATTTTTGAATAAAATACATATAAATCAAGAAATTCATCATAAATGAGACTTACCCTCCGTTGAACCTCATCCACAACATAAAGAACATTGTACAACTCCTTCAAAAGTTATAATTTATATTGAGGATAAAGTAAAACAATAAAAGATAGAATCATAGAGTGATCAGACCAATATTTCTCATATAGTTCAAGCATGGGTCTTGCCATTGCAGAAATACCTTCATAGGGATCATTATGAGCATAACACAATAATTTCTCAATTGCAAAAACGTTAGCCAAATACAAGTTAGAAGTGGGATACTTAGAACCAGAGAACAGAGTAGTAATTTCATAAAAAGGCTCAAGAAAATCACAATTTGTTTGAACTATTTCCCATTCATGATCAGTAATGATATCCAACTTATTTTCCCTATTAACAAACAAGTTAATTGCTAATCTAGCCTCAAGTGCCCTATGAATCATCAAGTAAGTATAATTCCAACGGGTAGGAACATCCAATACTAACTTACCAGAGAAAGAAGAATCATAGTCTTTAACAGCTAATTCAAAGGCACAAAGTCGAGAGTTAGAAGAATTAATAAACTTAACAATCTGACGTAATTTAATAATAGAAGAATCAATTACCTTCAAACCTTTTTGAACTATCAAGTTCAAAATGTGGGCAACAAATCTTATATGGAAGTACTTACCATTGCAGGGAATATGAGAAATGACATTCAAACCATCTTTTAGTTTCTTAACCATTCTATCGTTTGCAGAAGCATTATCAAGTGTAATGGTAAATTCTTTTTTTCAAGACCCCACTCGCATATCATCTTTTTCACAAACTTAAAGATAGATTCACCATCATGAGGAGGATGAAAACAATGAAAATTAAGTATTTTAGACTGAGAGGTTCTTCTCCCAAATT